TGATTAGCATTGGCATACAAGTAGTACAGTAACCCTATAATTAACCTATTAGCCAGGAAACTGACCACGAATCTTTCACTGCAAGGCATCTAGTGCAAATTCCGACATCTCTGTAAGCAAAAGCGACTGCTGTACGCACTACCGATAACGAGGGTGAGAGACTATCCCTCAATATACTATAATGGTCTGGTGGTTTGCTCATCTCTGGAACATAGCCTGTCGATCAAGAAGCAAAACACTCCAATCATGACCATGACGCACATCGAATGCGGTCCAACCGCATTTATCGTTCGGACCAATGAGGTGAATTTACTGGTTTTACTGGTTTTCTGCAGTCCCCCAGTACGTACCGTGATTCTGTATAAATTTTGTGCGCGTTGCATCGACATTGATTGAATATTTAATAGACCGAGCTCTCTTGAAGGCTGTCGTGAAAAAAAAACGGAAGAAATCAAAAAGGATGACCGTATTAACGTCTCGCTCATTGTACTCGATAGGAGACCGCCGATTTATACTTGAATAGTCTGCAGCTAGATGTGACTCAAGTCCCATTGTTCGTTCCCCTCACCTCCCCAGAGACCGATACGAAGGGAAATTGTGCATTTTCATAAGGGAAACTACTCAAAAGGTTGCTGAAAACTCTTTGACAGCCCACGACCGGTTTCGCCCTTCTTGGGGTGAATTGATTTGCAAATGAGTGTATTTCTCGAAAACAGTCCAATTAAGGTTCAAGTAGAACATAAGTTTGACGGAAACTCGGGGACTGCACCTACCTGATGAGCCCCAAGAGGGGCGAAACCGGTCGTGGGCTGTCGAAGAGTTTTCAGCAACCTTGTGAGTGGTTTCCTTTATGAAAATATACTGCGATATCTCGAATATCGTGCCAATTGAATAATGAGGCGGCCTGTGTGCAGCACATTCAGTTGTAGAATAACATAAGCGAGAGATTCAGTTGAGTCTCTCGTGAAAACCAGATCGATTTGCAAATGAATGTATTACTTGAAAAATTGTGCATCTTATCATCACTGTAGAAGATAACACATCTTTGGTTGAACATAACTCGCCGGTGCTGGCTGTGTCGTCCAGGCCATATCCGGCTGCTACTAGAACAAACAAAACTCGTTCAACTGGTACACTGACTAGTCGGGTACTATTGATGCACCTGGTTTCATTGTCAACGTAACAACTCAAGCATCTTATCCCCACCTTGTACAACACTCAAATTGACTGGACTATGACACTCACTCTCTCACCAATCGTTTTTAGATGCATTTTTTCCGAAACAACTAACAAAAAAGATATCTCACTGATATGAGATACGATGCTGTTCTTTGCATAATCTAAGTGATGTACGTATGCAGCAACGATTTGCTTGCATAAAAGCATGGGTCTAGTGCAACCACCCATCTTTATCTCCGTGGTAGTGCGGATGATCTTCTTACTTCCCTCACAAAACTCTGCCACAAGTCCTGACCTTTCCTTATTGTATTACTGTTGGTAAAACGCCTCAAATATCTTAAATAAAATAGCCCATGTAGACTGATTTCGGACAAGAAAAAGATGTTTCCTACTGATTCACTGATGTTCGGGTACAGAGTTCCGATAGGTGCACGAATCCGGCATGATGCGGGGGAGCCTCGTGCTCTCGAAACTGAACACAATTGGCCACACTCATTTACGCCAAGTGTGGAACCAATTGGCTTCGCAGCAGCTTCTAATGGTAAGGATACTGAGATCATCAATTAGACATTAACACCAATGACGCTAACGAAAAAGAAAAAAGACCGAATAGTTTTTTGCCAGATCAACTGTTCGAACAATCAATTTAACGGATTTGAATTGGAAATATCCGTAAAAACGTAGTTTGTATCCGGTCTATAACCGAGTTTTGTCAAGTTTTTCCAGTCAGAAGCAAACTGACCTGACAGTTAGCGTGTTGAAAGTGGATCCCTTTAGTCGGAAATGTAGTGGTAGAATTTCCAGTGTCCCACTACAAATGTTGCACTTAATGCAGATTAACATTTTTTCAAATTCGGCGTTCTGTATGCTTTTCAGTGCATACTGTTTTAGTCTTACGTTGATGAGCAGTTTTCCGTACACACCCTGAAAATTTCCAGCCTGTTTCGCGCGCAAACACATAGTAAAAAGATCATCTGCGGGAAGTCTTGCCTACGCCGTCCATCCTACCAGTGCATGAATATTTCGCCACATGTTACTAAATACGCCTTTCCGCTAACGGCCCCACATCGTTGTCAGCACCGTTGTCAGCATCGTTGTCAGCTACCGCCATAACCACACTACACATACAGCATCACTGTCCATACTCAGTGTCCAGCGCTAAATGAAACCGGGTCATTTTAGGTGCTGGAAGCTGCCGCAAGAGCTTCTTCCGTTTATGCTGCGAACATGATGCAATCAGCTTTGAATTGGGATACTCACAGACGCATCGATCGCGTTACTGATGTTTCGGCAGCTGTCCAGTCAATGCACAGCATGAGAGAGGGAATCGGATTGCCTCAAGCCTCCCAAGCCCGCATGCAACTATCGCGCAATCCGGACTGCATTTCCGGCAGGCATTGCCACAATCAAGCCACATGATTTTAGCTGACCTAGTTTCTGGACACATGCGGCGTATGTGTGTACGCGCGACATGGTTTTTTAATGCCCCACCAGAGTATTTAAATCAGCGACCTTCGGATCCCTCAAAGGTGGGAATAGTGCGGCTTTTGGGTTGCGCGCACCGGCATGAAAAAAATACCGAGACTCCCAGGGCAAAGGGAATCCGGAAACTGTCACACTTCAACCATGATTGCGGTGCCGCTGCCATGCCGTGTTAGTGACGTGCTCAGTCAAGCCGAGAGTTCAGCAAGCAAGTCGAGCACTCAGTCCGCTGTGGCCGCACCAAACCATACGCCTGGTACATAGTTGGGATACGGGGTTAGCTGTGCGCGTAACATAAGAGTCGAAGTCACAACCAATACACCGGAGTTCCTGTCCCGTTGAACCAACGATGGTGAATTGCATAGGTACATGGTATTAGCACATTATCCATGATCATTTCTATGCACTGAGCAGTGAGTATAGTTGTTGTGGAACGAATTCATTTCTGCGATCATCACTGCGGTCCCACTATCCAGCCCGGTACGGCGAAGTAAGCAAGCAGTTGTTCAGAGACATCCAACAGAGTTCTGCATCATGACAAAATTCAACGTCGATAGACTAGAAAACGTACTGCAATGGCACAGCTGTCATTGCATGCTCCTAATGAAGCAGGCAAGCGTGATTTTTTCAGATATATTCGAGTTGCTTACACGCTCCAGCCGTTCTTCAGTACCGAATGAGAAGTTCAGATAAGGGAAAAGCCTTATTTGTGACGCATCATCTGATGTTTGATACTACTGATTTTGTGGACCTTAATTTCACCATGGTGATCAAAATTTTGTCTCGATCTGCACTCTATATTGTGAACACTTTTAAGGCCCTAACTGTGTACAGTTAGGTGTGGTCTGACTCATATTCATGGCTCTATACACACGGCGCGCTTCAGAAGCACCACTCTGATGGTAAGTTGCACGTCAGTGAAAAAGCTACTATGCGGTTACTATGTACCAAAATAATGCATCTGGGCTGTTTTTAAATATGTGTTTTCCTTTCAAGGCTTAGAGACCATATTTTCATTCCCGGTGAAAATCACGAGAGGTGACGGGAGTATTATTGGGTTAACCATGTTCAATGTCGATTCGATCAAACTGAATTGCCAGGTAAAAACAAAAAACTGGGTTCATTCTGTACAGCTTGTGACGGTCTATTTCATCCTGTCCTATGGATAACTGATAGCGCAACATGCGTCTATTGCTGTTCAGGCATTGACTATGAAGAGGGCTCTCTCTCTTTCTCTGAGTATAAAATCATCCACGTTCGCCTCGGCCAGTATATTTTCCAGATAAGTAAAAGGAAATTATTTTCATAAAGGAAACTACTCACAAGGTTGCTGAAAACTCTTCGACAGCCCATGATCGGTTTCGCTCCTCTTGAGGCTCATCAGGTAGGCGCAGTCCCCGAGTTTCCTTCAACCTTATGTTCTACTTGATATTTACTTAAATAGGGACGATCAGATTTCACCACAGCCGGAACTGGAGCTGAGGTTGCGGAATCCGCCACTGAATTATAAGCAACGACTTACCCCCTCCGTAGCGCTTGCTACACAAATTTAATGGATTAAGGGTTTCTCTTCGATCGTGAACTTAAGTAACCATGAGAAGAATTTTGGCAAATAGGGAAGTTAAGGGGTTTGCATAAGACTCTTTCGAAACCCATGTAAAAACTACAAGGATTATTAAGCTGCGTTTTTTTCTGATTTGTTTGTCCACCCTAAAAATGAGCAAAACGAAGCTCCTAAATCCATGGTTCTCGACCCCGGGGTGAAACTTGGCCATTTCAGGGGAGCAGAGATTATAGATTTTCTGGCTCAAGTTTCCGTGGTGTTTCCGCTTTGCTTCGTGTTTGAAACATGTGATATGCAATTTACTCGGAAATCATTCCAGTATTATCACCCTGAAATGAAAGTTTTTATTCACAACGTCGACGTTGGGAGGGTCTTTGTACTTTTAATTGAAGCGATATCCAGACATTAAGGGATCAAGAACCACCGTATCAAAAGCTTTGTATTAAATTTCTCATGAGGACCCCGAATAAACTATTCCAGATGAGTCCCTGGAGAGGCCCTTATTTAAGGAATGCGACCCAGCTGCTGAGTGACCCCAAAAATCAATTGATGTATGCTATTCACAGAATTCACATTTGTTGGAAGTCGATAGTACTGCTGAAGTAGAAGGTTACTGAGTGCCAAATCCGTCTCCTTTTTAGCTTCACTGACTGACCAGATGCTGGTGGGTGTTGCCGGGGTGGGTGCTGCCGGGTGTTAGAAGCCACTTGTTCTTCAGACAACAGCCTTCTGCAATCTTTCATTTCTAACCCATGCACTTTGAAAAACTTTACAGTGCCAGGTGAAACCGATGACAGTACCCGACGGCAACCTTTGTCTTCTGCGTTGGTGGGAGATTCAACACGACCACTCGGCGAAAGAGATCCACGGCGAGGAGGTGATGATCTTGGAAGTCGTGATCAAGCTAGAAGGCAAAAGAAAGAGCGAACAGAAAACGGTGAGTGTGACATTGACGTGAGTATGTGTATAAATTGTGGATTCGCCAACAAAGTGATGACTAAACAAATGAACAACAGAGTCCTTTTCTGTATGGCCAAGGCAGAAAGAAGCTATCATGTGAAACATTCAAACATTTGANGAAAGTGTGCTACAGCTGAACGGTCATTATTTATTTATTTATTTATTTATTTATTTATTTATTTATTTATTTATTTATTTATTTATTTATTTATTTATTTATTTATTTATTATCACCGCGGTGGGTAGGAGAGTTTGAGATCCCATAACAAAAACATCCCAGTCTTCACACTCTAGCTGGATTGATGTGGCATTGGCACTTGAAAGCCTTCAATTAGGGATGACACACATTTTTGTTAATTGAAAGAGATTAATGGTGGTGCACCTCCGACTAATAAACCGGCTATGTAATAATGCGCTTACGTCATGTAGAAACGGGCACACCTCAAAAATCTAGGCTGCTATCCCGAAATGTGCACGCTTTCTGAAAAGATCAAAAATCCTATGGCTCAGAGGGCTACAGTGAAATGATAATCTGGTGAAAAGCATATCCGTTTCCAAGATTGAATGTTGCTTCGTCTGATAGCCATCAACATTACTGGTACTGACCGTCGAGGTAGGCTCTAGTTCGCCCACGATGAAAAACGTGATACATCGGGACTTCGAAACAAGAAGTTTTAAGTAATAACAATTTCATGTTCTAGTTTTGATGGCCGATTTGAAGGCTGGTTGAGATACTGGGGACAAATGGAAATGAATTTACCAGCATCTCTTCGGCTATATATGTCGTTCATGGTGAATGCTTATTAAGGTATCGATTTGAAACGGATAAACCAATGAAAAATGGAGAAATAGGGAAAGGGTATCAATGACCCGGTACTCAACTCTCACAGCCCATATACTCTTCCCTGAGACAGTTAAAAACTCATTACCTTGAAACTCAATTCAATTTTATCGAAAGTCCGTACTTTTGGGTGCACCAATTCAGGCCATTCATAATTCGGCCAATCAGATTGATCGTTAAAGTGAGCTGACCCGTTTCAATGCATCGGTTGATTTCTTCCGAGAAAATAAAAAGGTGGAAATCGCGGATAGATTGATCTTCTCCTATTCGAATACGAAAGACATGAATGACACTGGTTACTGCAACCCGCACTCACGATTTCTGACCAACCAATAGTATAATCAGAGGTCTAGGTAGTTCAGTGGTTGGAGTGTAAACGTAATGACCAGAATGTCCGAGATTCGAACCCAACTTCGGCATCCGGACAGCTCCTGTCTAGACTGGGGAGCGTGATATTATCTCAGCCCTCTTGACTCTTTAAGGTGGCATGACACTTAGATACGGAAAGGGTGCTGCAGTTGAACAGTTATTATTAGTTTTATTTATCGTCGGTTGCAGTTACAGCTGACCGATTCCGTTCCTGGAAGTAACAAATATCATCGGGTTACTGCAAACTAGCCTCCCCTACGTATTCCCATTTACGAACAAACGATTCGGTACTTCACGTATGTGGTGGACAGTGGTGCATGCACATGTTGTTGTGTTGGTGTCTTATATTCATTTTACTGTTACCTGGTTGGTTTAACAACAGGTATTGAATACAAGTGTTTGCTCACAACGAGTGAATTCATAACTGCAAACCCCAAAACTTGATAGGTTTTCTTACCATTTTCTTGATATGTACTTGCATTGCACTGTGTACGCTTAGTTGTGGAAGGCTTATTACAACACAGAGTCACAAAGTTCTGCTCACTAGGAGCCATAAAGACGCCATGGTGCTCGGTGTCGAATAAATAATTGTCGTTATGCTTAGGATTTTGACAGTCATGGTTGAAGTTCCAGCGAACACGTTTAAACTAAGGATGCAGTTACACAGAAAATCATAAGAATTTGGCTCTTATTCTTTTCACTATGAGTGTGGTTTTGTGAGTATGTGCGTTTCCGCTTCTGAAAATATAAATCAGCCACACTATACCATCAGCTAGCCAGCTCATACGATAATGTCTGGTGTCAGACAGGCCGCGTCCAACTCACGTGTCCCGCCAGGTAGCGATGAACGAAATAGTGTGGATTAGTGTGGATCAGAGTCGACTTGTCCGAATGACCGGTGAAGTACAAAAATTATCCTATAAATTGTTACGTATATAATATTATAACACACGTGGTATATCTCTAGCTGATGTGCCACGCAATCGGACATGATTGTTTTAGGTATAGTGGTGGATAATTCTATAGATATTTTTGTGTTCGAAGTCGGGCCGTGCTATACTAGGGATACCCTCTCTTGTTTATGACTCATGCACAGTAGGTGTAATCAGTCACTCGAAACGGAACAAAAAACAGTAATATCTAACACAGGCAATCTCTGCACTTCTTAGAAACAGCAAGTCGTTAGTACCGGTCAAGCATTCAAGCATCCAGCTAAAATCTTTTGACAACCACGGAGGCAAAAACGCTGGTGCACAGTAATCCCTATTCAATATAGGTAAAAACCCACCGCAACTGTTCGCTTTTACTTTCGGACGACTGCTGCCTAAAACAGGATCACTCGGCTCCAGAAGTATCACGATGACGGACTACCACAATCGCGATTTAGTGTCCGCCCGTGAACCACACGATAACCGAGTTGCTTCTTGTCGCTGTTGACCGTACTCAGTCAGGTTTTCAGCTGTCCTACGAGGCGACAAAGCCATCCTTGATATAATGTCGAGGCAAAGGTCTGTTTTGTGCTTTCGGCATCGTGTGCAGCAGACGCCAAAACCACTGCAGACGCCGTCATAGGAGTTTGGATAGGCGGAGTAGTAGCCACCAGATTCCGAAGATCTGCTCGTGGAGGTCATGTTTCACAGACAAAAATCAATACCGGATGGATGGCCACGTCGAAGACTCGTTTTTTCAACAAGATAGGGTGCCGCTATATGAAGGCTTACCTTACATTGTCTGTTGAACTTCTTTAGCCCAGCCGTCGGGTTAGATTATGAAAGCAAGGTATTCGGGGTCAACAAATGTTGTGAACCACAGTCCCCCAATGCCTTCTTATTACCGTGAACCCCGGTCTGGTTACCTGCTTGATCGCCTGGTACGCTTAGCCAAACCAAAAAAGTCAACGAACGTGCGAAACAGTTGATCTATTGATCACCGTCGCGTACAAGCGGTCAAAAGTGATACTAAGAATACAATTCATCTGTCAAGGGTGAGTGAAGAACAACCGATGAAATCTTTCTCAACGAAGGACGATTTTTCCATTGGCGGTTACGTTGACCTGTTACGTTCGGAGCTGGTTCTCCATATAACAACCTGCTGGATTATTTTACCTTTTTATTTTGAGAGGATTGCAGCGTAGTGAGTGACTATTCACCGCTTCTCTGGCTATTGTAAAGTAAATGCACCTGGAGAAACTGAAATGTGATAAGTGATTCACAGGAGCTTTTCCATCATCGAACAAGGCTAACGGAAGGAATTTTACCACGTTGACGGGAGGCAGTTGATTTAACCAGACGTTGTCGCTTTTCTAAACTCCAGGGAATGGTGGCATGCCTGCGCG